TCAAATGCTACAAAAGAAGTGGAGAGTCATCTGTAACTCCTACAAAAGAGTTTGTCCTTGACTGAAATAAGGTTTAGGCTGAATTGTCAATATTACACAATCAAAGTCTGCTTCCGGCTAATAGAACAGATGGGCCCATCATGGTATAAAAACTTTTTTTTTTTTTTTTTTTTTTAAAAAGGCATTAGTGTTCTTCATCCATGCCATCGATCTCAATGAATTCAGAGATGTAATGAAAAATGTGTTACTACATTACATGAATTACTTTAGTGGCAGGTTAAAACTGGTCCAAATAGTAGCCAGAACTACTCCAGACAGTTTCAATTTCCAGAAATGGCCTTTCTCTTCTTTATTATGAACTGAATTACATTTGTTTCAGAAAATGCTGAGAGTATAAGGTACCTTGTGTGTTTTTACATCCAATCTTTCTTGTATGGTGTCCAGCAGACTAAGAATTCCCAGAGTCAGTACCTTTGTTACACCATTTTCTTGCTATGTGTATTTCCACACACACCACCACCTCCAATTCAGCTTGCTTTTTTGGTATTATGTAACTCTTTCTTGCGTTATCTTCAAGTACTGTTCCTGTAAAATCATGCTCTTCGCATGCTCTTTTCTTCCCCCTGCCAATTACCAGATGGTTAAATATACTAGAATTTGATTAAGTAGCATCACTTAACTCAATAAATGTGCTAATTACAGATTATGAGCGAATTTCTAGTCCATAAACATGGAATCTGACTGGCAGAGACTGTCAACTTACTGTGTTCTTTTCCATTAATAAATCGAGGCATTATGTTCCCAGTAAAGCATCGTCAATGCTAACTTTCTTGGGTAACACGAACGGACAGTGTATGAGCTCATCTACGAGCTTTTTCAGTTGAGCTTTAATGTGTACTGCAAAAAGTCCTTGACGTTTCAGTGCTCTTGAAAAATATTTGGAAGTATTTCCAAAATTTATTTTAGAAAAATACTTTCAAAGCAACTAGTGACTTGAGGATGTTTCAGAAAGTTGAGCCTGCAGCTAGTTTTAGTTACTTTCAGAAAACTGGAAGGTGAAATAAACACTTACTGAAAATCAGGCTTCTGTCAAGATGATAGTATGCTGGTGCAGGACCAACCACAGGCATAGGGAAATTCAGTGTTTGCCATGAGATAACTGAGGGTGAGGAGAGGGAAGAAGGAAGTACCCTTCAAATAGTTTTGCACCAACAGAAATGCCTAGAACTTGCCACTACTACTGATATTGGTCTATATGTTTGAAAATATCTATTGTACTCAGTAAATGGTGCATCCAGTACAGGCAGACAGTGCAGTATAAATTAAATACAAACTTTCAGGGCACAGTTGCTCTTTACCACCTTACTCCATTCAGGTTTCTCTACTATTTATAGTTTTTGTCATCAAAACTGTAACAGTTTTCTTCATGTGTTTGTATCTCTTATTAGTATTGAGAATGTGCATATAGATGCTAGCATTTGTTTTAATATACTTCAAGCATTACAATCCAACATGTTACAGTTGTGAAGAATACTTTTCTATATCTAAGTTGAGTACCTTTCTGTAAGGAAAAAATATTTTTGAAATGTAGCTAGTCACTCTGTATGAAGGCAAGTCTTAGGTGAACCTGGAACCTGTCTAAATAGGGAAAGAGCTCTAAACCGGGGAGATTTTGGGGGGGTGGGGCTTGGAGTGGGGGGATGACTTTTGGTTGCTTGGTTTTTTACACGTTACTAATTGCAAGGCCTCCTTCCCTGTACAAATAGCTTAGCACCCAGGGAGTAGCTTGCTCAAGTTACCTGATGAATATTAAGACATATGCCTTAAACTTGTCAGGTTTACATGCATCAGAGTTTGACTGTTACATAGTCCTATCCATCAATCTCTGAACCTCTTCCCCTGTTTCCCCATCACTTTTTAATCAATTGGCATATTTCAATGAAATTTCACAGAGCAGGCATTTCAGCTAATTAGTTCCTAAACTTTTCATAAAAATTTGCAGCTGGGTAGCAGGGACACACCCAGAGTGAATGCCCCACTCATGCAGAATTCAGCTTTTATTCATTGTTTAAGGCAACAGCTGGCTGGCAAAATAATCAGGCACTTGTTTCCTTTTGCGTGATGAGGATACAGGGTGGAGCTGGGGTACCAGGATGCAGAGATTTAGGGGACAAAAGACAGAGTCTGTACAAATCTAGGCTTTTGTTTTGCTGTTCCCAAAAGAGCTTGTTTAATTAATGTTCCATGTTAGACTGGAAAGATGTTTCAATGTTTCATCCGTTTGGAAGTCTTCCCCCCATTTTAATGAAATTAAACAATGACTTTGCTTTTAGGGCTTCATAAAATCCACTATAAAACTGCTTATGCTAGGCTTATAACTTCATTATTTAATAATGAGCTCCCACTAAAGATCTGATATTTATTTCCAGTTCTGTTGTAACAATCCTCCATTAGCTACTGTAATCTGAGGCACAGATTTTATTGTATATTTTCTTAATTGAGCTGTTGCAACAATAGACCCAGGAAAAGTTATTTAGAAGGCTGGACTGGAATAGCACATTTAGAATAGTCGTAGAGCTGGGATTGTATGGTCTGCATCCTTTTGCAGCTGGAAATAATATGAAGAACATGGCATCTACTCCCAGGTAAAATGCTGGCAAGTTTTTCTCCTTGTCCAAGCTATTTGTATAATTTAGTGACTGGAAAGGCTTAAACACTTAAAAAAATAAATCAAATTAACCAGAATGTTTTACCTGAATGTTTTGCTTTTTCCTTTTTAATAATAGAAGAAAAGTCTATTTTTTATGAAATAGCAACAGTATAATTTTAATGAAATGGCAACAGTAAAACTACAAGATTCAGATACAACACATAGCATCTAGGTGAGCTGTAGCTCACTCTTATTTTTCTCTTGCCTTGAATAAAGCCTTGTGAGAGCCTCACTGAAAAGCCTGTGGCAAACGAGGACCAGGACCTCTCAAGCCACATGCCAGGATTTCATAAGCTTCCTCTTTGGGATTCACACCATGTCTGTTTAGTTTGATACGATGTGTATATTTATCTGTTGTAACGTATGTTTCCTGTGAAGTCATTCTGTGGGGCTTCAGGCTGGCATAGGGAACCAATTTATGTAAGAAGAAGAATGAGTTGTTGGCATACCAGCTTGCCAAGAGTAATACATATGGGATTTTTATGGCTTGGTACGGGCTTTCTCAGTAACAGTATCCTCATACCGTTCTTGATCACTCTGACTTTATCAACACTTCTCTAACAAGAGCATAACTTATCTGTAGTACAATCAAAAAGCATTTGTCTTCTGCATTCTGGTCTTAATACATAAATCCAGCTCAATACTCCTTTCCATGCTTAGCAGAGCCAAAGGATGTTATTTCAAGATGACTCAGCTCTTCACAAGTTAGATGAACCAAATCACTCTGCCCTCCCTTATACTTCAGTAGAATAACAACCTACCTGATTTGGTCTGTGAAAAGTATTTAACTCATTTTTAACCAATAAGACATTTTTAGTCAGTTTGTGAAAGAAACTATGCATAAGTCAAGGTTCTGAAGTGGCATAACATTTAGAGATGCAAAAAGTCATTATTGTTCAGACTGTCTTGCCCACTGCAGTGCAATTATATTTCGAAGTTGAATATTGCAGGGTAAGTTTTCTTTCTTTTTTTTTTTTTTTTTCCCCTGAAATCTATATGTTATTTTTCTTCTGTTGGAGGATCAGATTTTGTCTATTGCCATGATGGTAAAAATCACCGCCAGACCTTCGACATTACTGGATGAGGAAAAGAATTTGGGATCTAATCTCTTGCAGCACATATTTGGCATTTAGGAAGTGAGATTCCGAGCAAACAAAAGACTGGTGTGTTGCAAGCTTCTCCCTGAACCTGAAATTGCTGAAGGTGCCTCTATCAGCTTCCAGCTTCTACGAAACTGAAAGTGCCATGCTTTAAATATTCAAATTTCTATCACTGTATTATCTGAAAACCAATCACTAAGACTGTGTGAACAGAACGTGTGTGTTAAGTAGATTATGCAAATGAAGCAATATGATTACTTTTTAGTGCCTCCACACACTCTTACTGTTTCATAATGATATACATAAGGACATGTTCCTAGTTCTTTTTACCTTAAGTTTATATGAAAAGTATTTATCACATGTTTGGCTTAGATGGGATGTTAAGTCAAAGTGAAAGTATGTTCTTTTAATTGGAGAGTCATGAAGAGTCTGCCTTCAGTTAAGAAGTTCCCTTCCTGAATTTCACTAGCTCTGATTTATAACCTTTCTTCAGGTTCTGATGTGTGGATTTCACCAGGTTTTGTACTTAAATAACCTGATGTTTCCTGTGAGAGGTTATCAGAACATTTGTTTTCAATGCTAGTATTATGATGCTGTATGGTCTGTCTATGTATTATCTTCCTTCAGCTGAATGAACGCTTACTGGCACACACCAGAGTCACCATACACATCATTAGTATTTTGCAGGATTTATGATTCTCCCTGTTTTCCAAGGGGCTGAATGCAAAGCCTTCCAAACAAAGCACAGCAACTCCACTTCACAGTTTGGGAAGAATTCAAAGCCATCTTAGCCAGGGCATTTTTAGTGCAAAGCACTGTAAGTTTAGCAAGAGTACTGAGGCTGCACACCTGACACAGGATCTTGCACAACACAACCACAAATGTCATGTTTTGTCTTCAAGAGAGCCCCTGCAGAAGCAGGCTGAGCCCTGGGAACACATCGAGGTAGCCACAGAGAAGGACCCACCCATTGACAAGCCTGCTTGCATTCAAACAGGTCACGAAGGATTATCACATGGAATTTCCAATTTTACCTAATCCAGATCTGCAGGGATCTTTAAGAGGTTTATCGTAGTTTTGCAGCTCCTAGTTTGTGGTTGAATTCTAGCTGGAGGTGAGCCAGGGAACAGAGGAGCACTGCGCAAAGGCAAACAGTGCAGTGTGGACGGAGAGGAAGGGCGGACGGTGCTATGGGTGCTGGGGAATCAGCTGATGATTTTGCTGCAATAGAAAACAGTCAGTGGTACAAGAAATTTATGAAGCAATGCCCCTCCGGGCAACTTACTCTCCATGAGTTTAAGAAAATACTGGGTTTACAGGATATGAACCCTCAGGCAAACATGTATGTTGAGCAGGTGTTTCACATCTTTGACATGAATCAGGTAAGAAATTTTCTTGGACTATTTTCATCACGAAATGTATGTGTTAGCATGAACAGTAGAGGACTTTGGCCTAGTGATATCAAATAAGAAACAGTAGGTAAGTGGGAGTTGTTTTTTTCTTCTCATTAATTTTCAGCAGCTGTGCAGCATTACTTAAAGTGAGAAAACTGGATTTGTTGGACTCTTTTCAATGTCATCTAGGTTGTTTAAAAGAAGAGCTCTTCAAAAATCTACTAAAGTTTAATTCCTTGTAAGTGGGGCAGGACGAGAGTCTTAAAACCCTCATGTTCCTCCCCGTTCACTACTGGAAGGTTGTGTGAATATTTTTGTCTTCACTCTCCTTTTTTAAACATTATTTTCCCCATCATTTCCAAAGCAAAGTCTGTTCAGATCTGTTGAGCTGCATTTTTGGACAGTTACAATTAATCTATCCTTTTTTTTCTTTATTTTATTATCACCATTTTTATTCTTATTTGGAAAGTTTGTAAAAGAGTAATATAGATGTTTTATTTCCTTACCCACCCCTTAAAAAAAGCAACTTTTAAAGCTGAGCAGTGGAAGGAAGGTAGACTTGAGTTATTGCATAGATCAGAAATCAGAAGACCATGCTACTACTTCTAAAAGATAAATGGAAAGAATGAAGAAATGCAGTGGAAAAAGTACAGTCAAAAAACAGGAATAGGCAGCAATAAGGTAAGTAGATACCAGCTCTCCAGGAAAGGACAGAAATAAGTGAAATGTAAAACAAACAAATAAAAAATAAAATTCACAAAATTAAGGCACAAGTATAAAGAGATGGAAATAAATGTTCAAAGAGTAGAAGGAGGAAATAGTGTCTCATTCCTTCTTCACATGTTAATTGAAACCCTTGTGGAACTGCAATGCAAGCTGTGGGGAAAAAGTGTTGAAAAGGTAGCTAAAATCTTAGCGAGAGATTCATTCTCCATCAGAAACAGAGCTGATACTTGGACAAAAACAACGTACGGGAATAAATGTGGTTGGTTGCTCAGCTGCAGTAAGAGGTAGAAGAGGCTGGCAATGGCAGCCACAAGATCCAGCCCCTCAGGGTGCCTTTCCACAGGGCCTGTCTTTCCACTGGCCCAGAAAAGCAGAAAAAGGGATTACTAGACAGAAATACTGCCGTGCTCTTTAGCAACTGCAACAAACCCTTGCCTTGCTAACTGGAGCCGCAAGGAGATGCAAGTTGCTCAGTGTCTGCTCGGTTTGGGAAAGACTTCAGACACCAAGAAGGAGAACATCTCCAATCAAAACAACGGTACCTAATTAGGGAAGACAGCCTCTCTTCCTAATTAAATGTTTACTGATGTCTCTTTCTATTGGCTTGGTTCTCCCTTCTCCAAAATGCTTAACTCGGTGGATTTTATTGCTGGTGCAGGGGGAAAAAAAAAAAAAAAGAAAAAAAAAAAAAAAAAAAGAAAAATAGTGCTTTAATATCCAAAGTTCTTCCAAATAGCTGTGCTGCGTAGGCAGATAAAAACAGGAAGCTGGGATTTAGAGTTGTTTAAGGATCTATATGTAACGTTATTAACTGGAAAAAATCCAATTTGTCTAAGACGAAATCCTTCAAGAAAACAGCCTGTGGCATCAAAATGTCATTGGGGTGGGGGTTAATTCAGAGATATTACCCTTAACACAAAGATTTGAGGGACTTGAAACAAGAAGTTATTAACTTAAATTACTTTTTATAAATTTAAACTAATGGGGGTTTTTTGCCCCCCCCCCCCTTCCTCCCCAGATTATCAGCATGCAAAAATTCATGGATTTCTTTTCTTTCTATTTCTCCCAGTTGGAGCCAGGACATTTCATTGGCCTCTCAGATTTCCCCTGGATGAGAGGACTCTTTCCCTTCATTTCTAATAAGACCACTTAAAAGTAACAGCTTAACAGTCATTAACTGCCTCTCTGTCCTTAATCAGAGGTTGTTAGTCCCACTTGCAGTTCCCTGATGCCCACAAGGCAAGGCACAGCCCAAGCTCTTGCCAACCCTAATTTCAGGAAAATCAGTGAATTTGTAATAGCTACAAAAAGAAAGTATTCCTGACTTATCTTCCTGACAAAGGAGGATGCATCTCTTTGGCAACTAGAAAGCTTGATGAAAATAACAGCTTCAGGAGTGGGCCTCCATTGTGTTAAGTCTTTAACTCCAAATGGAAAATGTAAAGTCGGTATCTCAGAGCACTTCCCATAATCATTAAACTGAAAACAACTGCACTACAAATGGTTCTGTGGGAAGTATAAGACTTGTTATTTCATTATGCACGGTCTGCTGGTTATTTATAGATACTGGAGCACCGTAGTACGTGTGGCTAACAACACCCACGAAATCATGTCCGTAAATGGTTAGTTTAATGACCAAAAAAAAAAGCCTAAGCTAGACTGTGTGCAACTAAGATAAGCACAATTGCTTATCTCATCACCAGGACGTGTATCATTGTGCTACACTCATAATCTCCATGAAAGAAATAATGAAGCAGTAGTACAAAAAGGAATCGGACATAATAGGCTTCTATAGATGTATTTTCAAATGGTCACTGCCTTCTGTTTCAGTTTTAAATCCATACACAAACCCAAGGATTTCATTGTTTGTAGAAATATAGTAGCAGGCACACAAGGAATGTGACTGTGAGCTAAGAAAGTTGTGCCTGTGCTTGATCAGTGTTTTCAATGACAGAATAATTAAGCAATTGTGTGTATATTCCCACACACTTTGCTAATAATTAAGCAAATGTGTGCATATACCCACATGCTATGACTAAAATACCATAGAAAGTAGTGATGACCTCTCTTTTCCTCATCCCCATGCTTGAGTTAGCAAGAATTTGGTGAGTACTCTCCTCTCAGGCAGAGAGATTAGAGGTTGTGTCCCACTAGAAACTTGCCTCATCAGGGCAAAAGCTTTCTGGTTTTGAGGAAGAGGAAAACAATCCTTGAAAGTAAGCTACCATTCTGATGAAGATACAGGAGAAGGAAAGGTTAGCTTGGTCCTCCTCCTTGTAACATGCACAGGAGGAGGAAGGCAGAATTTAGAAGCTAAACACTTATTCAAAGAGTCAAAAAAGTGTAGGGTGGGCCATAGGGAGAAGATGGTGATGCTTGGGACCTTACAGTTTGGGACTTCAAAAAAAAAAAAAAAAAAAAAAAAGTTAAAGCCTTCATGGGGTAAATTTTCCGACCAGGATACCAGCCCTTCCTGGAGAGATAACTTTCTCTTTCAACAGTTTTGTATCTTTGTCCTGATGACTCTCATTTGGGCAGCCTAGGTTGTCCCTCTGAAAACACGTCACCCAGCTCTGCTTGAGCTGGGAGGTAGCTTGCATCTACCTTCAGAAATGGGAATGGACTCTGAAGCTGGCTGGAGATGAGGAGTAGCTCTGTGCCTGTGGGGAGCTGGCAATGAAGTTAATAGAGGGAGATGGCAGGGTAGGAGGAAGGAAACGACGCTTTTAAGTCAGCTGGTTAGGCAGGGACGTGGGAATCCCCACAGTAGTGCTTTCTCTGGTCCTGCCCACGCAGCTCCCCCCTGCAACTGAACTGAGCGGTGGCAGATCTCTGTACGCACTCAGCACCGGTAGGATCCAGCATCTGATAGCAGTGGAGTGCAGGGAGGAAAGGGGACGGAAGAAGGGAGAGGTGGGGCAAAATCCCGAAGCACAAGCTGATTCACGCAGGAGAGAGAAATGGCATTTTTTCAGAGAAAATTACTGAGGAAGGAATAAAAGGAGTGGGGCTGGAGTGAGCCAGAGTGGATTCAAAAATCGAGAGGAAAAGACAGAAAGTTAATTGGCAAAGATAACACAAATTTAGATAAAAATCTGTAGATAAGCATTTTATTCAAATGCATTTAAAACTTGGCATTTGCCACTTCAAGCACTAGCAGCTGGGTTTTTTGTCTTACACTTAAAACAGGTACCATTCAGCTGAATCTATCAGAGTTGAAAGATATGTGACCTCCTTGTTTCACAACACAGGGGTTTAGTATCTGCTGCCTACAGCTGAGTTACCGCTGCTTTCACAACACCCAAGAGAAAGAGAATGTCATCTTTATTATTTTACTTTTCTGCCATTTTTTATATCAAGGTAGCTCCTGATCACCCTGCTGTGAAGTTTGGGGTTTTTTTACCAAAAAAAAAAAAAAAAAAAGGCATCAACCTCTATGTTCAAACTCTGGCAAAAGACTACCTCCACTTCACTTGTAAAGAAATCTAAATTACATCATCTTTTCCAAAACTGATGAGGTTTTATATCATTTTCAGAGCAGGACTAATGAACCTGGGTTTTTTTTCTCCTGTTTCCCTGCAGAGACAGTTTGGCTTTACCTGCAGTATGCATTTTCTGTGTGCCCCATGTTCTTGCAGTTTAGCAACAGTCTGTCCTTGAACCAGCAATCTTCTTTATTACAGGACTGTCGTTTTCAGTGCAAGTACATAGTCCCACTGTTGCCTGTTTGTATCTTTTTCTTAATTCCCAGAATATTGTACAGACTCCAGAAAACTTCTTGACATCTCTAATGCAGCTCTCAATAGATACTGTAATTTTATCTTCATCTTTTAGCATCAGTTCAGTTTGCTGCAGATAGCTCATTTGGAATTGCTTCACTGGGCTTCCTATATGCAAACTAGTCTCTATACTTGTTGTTTCAGTGTTCTTTGAAATGGCTTTGCTATATTAATTTCTTCAGTTCAGCTCCATATTGTTATGAATTTTTCTATTTTTATTTATTGAAGTAGAAATGCTGCATTGTCATTGGCTTCTGGAACAGGTGATTTGTGTAGAATTTCTACTATCTCAGCACATGCTTTGTCTGTGAGTTTATTAAGTGTTGTCAAACTATGCAGCGCCTTATAAATTTTAGCCTTTGTGCCCCATAAAACTCGCCTTCCTTTTTTTGTCAGGTGTAATATCAGCTATTATATGCTTTTCCAGTCCCCTACTAGGGGTGAGGGATGCTGTGAGACTGAGCTATAAATCAGATCACTTTT